GAAAGAATTTTGTATTTTATTGCCTGCACCGTTAGGCTGATGATACATGGGGCAACTTTTTTGAGCAATGTTGCTTGGGCACTTTCCCACTGAGAATGAGTAGCATACTTCAATCTGGATATTTTAGATCGTTTGTGGGCCCTGTGTCTCACCTGGTTGCCCGTTGACGGCAACATTGCTCAAAAAGTTGCCCCATGTATCATCAGCCTTAGACTTTGCTGTAATTTTACAGTTAATTACCACAAAAAGCCCAGTAAAATACCATATATAATTTTTTCAGTTAACTACTGTAAAATACACTGCATTATGGATATTAAGCCATTTACGGTTGTTTACTGTATAAGGTAATTTGTCGTACTTTACTGTTTACGCAAAAGCAGTAGGCGCTACTGTAAATTAAGTGCTACTTGTTCTGCAGACAAAAAACACGAATTTGCTTTCTCATTTATATAATTTTCAAATTATCTAGCGTGTATAGCTTTAGAATTTTCTCTAATAACGAAAAAAAAATATCCACAATTTGTTCCCGGTTTTTCAATAGGCTATCAGAAAAAATATACAGAGAGCCATTGAGAAAGATTTTTATTTATTTTTTTATTTTTTAATGTCTGGGTAAGCACAAGAGTGGTGAAATAAATGTATTTCTAAATTATAAAAAAAATAAAACATAAACTGCTCACACCCCACAAAATGTAAATTTTATTCACGTACAAATCCTGCACATCTACCTGGCAGAGGTTAGAGCCAGATTTTTGTTTATGTGAAATCTAGCTAACAGCTAAAGTTATATTTTCCGATGTTCTCTACTGAGTGCTCAGACAATCCAAAGAAAACATCTTTATAACGAAAAGAAGTAACTTACAAAATAAGATCTGGATGAACATTAAAAAAAACCTGACCAACATTTCTCTGTGTGGGTACAAAACAAGTGAATGAATCTTCCTCAGAAGAGCGACAGAAACAGCAACTCGCTTCAATGTCTGACTTTCATTATAATTATGTCTATAAGTTTTGTTTGTTTTTTTGTGAAATTTGGAGTAACTCATTAATCTGTTGCATGATCCCTTTATATTTAAGCAGAGAACTATAGTTTCCAAAGTCGGACATCGCTTATGATTTTCAAGGATGTAGAATTTAGTAGAGATTCTATGACATGTCCCTACCAATATCCAGCGACTACTAAATTGTCCCTAGCATTAACTTTGATCAAACAATTAAATGTCTGTTGTCTACTGTTATGTCCCCACCAATGCTAAAATCAAACGTATGCCCTTGCCCCCAAACAAATATATTGTTAGAAATAATGTTATACTAATCTAGTGCAAGCAAAGTGATATTTGATCATCTTCAGGATTTATCGTGACAAACACTCACATTTGATCATTTGAGCATTAATGTGAGAATGTGTTGCTTTTCATTCTCAAATCTCAAAAAAATAGAGTGGAAATGAGCTGCCTATAAATGAACATCAATACCAGCAGATTAATATATAAAGCCATTACATATACATGAAGATTAATAAATGATAAGAAAAGTGGCATCATCATTTAGGTTTGTGGTGTGTGAATGTGTGCTTGATCTTGTTGAGCTCTTCTGGATCTGATGTCATAAACCAGAAGAACGACAGTAGCCACGCCCTCTAAAAGTTTTTAGTTTGATTTGACAGTATGGATGCTACATCTCTGGGACAAAACAACAACTGACGATGTAAATTAAATAATTAAATAAATAACTCACCAATCAGATGACACAAACTAAGCAAAACTAATCTAAGAAACATTTTGTTCGTCGATTGACTGAACAGCCCACGACAGTGACACTTGAAATGTCTGAAGACACTCAAGATTGGTCTGAAACATGACTGAACTGTGATATTTATCTGGTTTAATCTTCTCTCAACAGGATTTAAACTCCATCACAGTTTCCTTTGTGAGATAACAATCAGCAAACTTTTGCTGATCTTGCATTTTAAAGTGAATTCTGGCCCTGCATGAGTGAAATGTTGCATGAGTGTTGGTTTAGAGATGCGTATTTGGCAACCCAGTCTCATAAAAATACGTACCTCTGGGTACTTTTCTGCAACACCGTTTTTACGTACCTTACTGCACGTTTCGCCGCAGTTTCAAAGAGAAATGTCCACTGAGTGGCGCTAAAACACGGGTTCAATACGTCAACCCTGGCACGTTTTTATTACGTTGATATAGGTACGTATTGCTGTGTTCTTATTACGTTGCTTCCGGTATGTATTGCGGCGAT